TGTCATGCTCGACTACTACAAGGAAGGCAAGGTCACAGTGAGAGGAGGGAATGAAAAGAAAGAGCACCAGTCTTTCGTACTTATCAGCAAGGGGCTGATCACCGAGACTGAGTCTGGAAAGACAGACTCCAGCAGCACCGCAGTTAAAACATCTCCAGCCCCAGAGCACCGCCCAGAACCCATGAACGTCTACAACCTCGTAGCCATCATCGGGGACCAGATCCTCCACTTGCAGCAGGCGGTGGACCGCACCACAGAGCTGTCGCGCCAGAGACTCGCCAATCTGGAGTTGAGCACAGTGGCGGACAAAGACAAAGAGGCTTGCATGGGAGAGATCCTCAAACTGAAGTCCCTGCTCAGCACCAAAAGGGAACAGATAGCCACGCTCAGAGCCGTGCTGAAGGCCAACAAACAGGTACGGAGACCACGCTGTGTTTGTTTTCTCAGAGGAAGGATGTTCATTGTTTATCAAACTTATACATACAAGAAAAGGCTCATTGGCTTCAGCTAAAAATAACTGCTGAGTGTAGACTTAATGAAAATGTGTGAGTAATTATTTCACATCCTTTTCTCTTTAGACGGCCGAGGTTGCTCTGGCCAATCTGAAGAGTAAGTACGACAGTGAGAAGGCCATGGTGACCGACACGATGATGAAGCTGCGCAACGAACTCAAGGCTCTGAAAGAGGATGCTGCTACATTCTCCTCTTTAAGAGCCATGTTTGCTACAAGGTACGACTATACACAATCGATAATTTACATTAAATTCTCGAAAAACAAAAGCAAACCAGCAGATTCTTAAAGTCTTAAAACGTCTTAAATTTAGTTTTAGATTTTCAACATCTAAAAATGTCTTAAAGTATAGGGAATTTTATGAGAGGTGGCATTACATTTTTATCCGGGACACAATGAAGCAGCGTACCTATATTTTGCTCATTTATGATTTATTTTACCATTGTCTCCTTATAACATTGGAAGATGACAAATACCATGATTAATGGAAACAATCCAGTGATTCTTATGAGGCAAACTTTTGGACAATGAAGTGCAAAAATAATGGATGTGCACATGAGCACAAGCATGATAGCTATAGAGTCATTCGCTGCTTCTACTGATAGTTAGTACAGTGACTATGTCCACTCAAGAAAAACTTTCAGGGCCCACTACAAATCTACAGTGCACATCGCTGCAATAATGGTATTGTATGTACACATATCCTAGTAAAATCACGTGTAAGGGCACAAACTATAATACATGCACCATGTACTCTTGATACAGGAAATGTTACAAAAGTACAAAGTTATTAAAGAATAATTCAAAACTTTACAGCATAACTACTTTCTGTTAGTGTGTGTCTGTCTGAGAAAGACACAATGCATTGTGGGAAAAGTCTGATGTAATACTTCTGTGAGTCAGCTAGCCAGACCTCTTTCTCCCATCTGGAAAATGCTGTCTGGGGGATGGAGAAAACATGTGACAACAGCAGCCATCTGAGGAAAACTGCCCCCTCTGCTGGAAATAATGCATATCTCCTGTTTCTTTCTTCCCCTCTCTCACTCTCTCTTTCCTTTCTTTTCCCTCTTTCTCTCAGGTGTGACGAGTACGTGACGCAGCTGGATGACATGCAACGGCAGCTGGCTGCTGCGGAGGATGAGAAGAAGACCCTGAATTCTCTGTTACGTATGGCCATCCAGCAGAAACTGGCCTTAACTCAGCGCCTGGAGGACCTGGAGTTTGACCACGAACAGGCACGCCGTAAGAGTGCCACAGCTGTGGGAGGCAAGAGCATATTAAAGGGCAAGGGAGCATCTTCCAGTCATCATGTAAGTCAGAGGAATAACGCAGGACCTGGGTTTCCTCTGAAAAAATCTGCATTGTTTATCCTAGATTTGTATTTCTCTCAGCCTGGGCATGCACACTCATACTCATCCATTGCAAACACCCTTGAAACCATTATACCTCTTAACACTCTATCAGACCTTTTAGTACTAATACTACTAGAGCCTGATAAAAATCATAAAAACAATATGTTTGCTAATATGCACCGTCATG